TATTTATGTACATACACATCTATACAAAATAAATAATAAGGACTCATAAGGTCAAAACAACAAGTTATATCATGAAATCTCCCTCTATCTCTGATCATAATCGAATCCAATGTAATCCAACGGAATCTGTCTGTATCCAAGTCTCAAAACATTAGCAAACAGAAGCTATGAATCCACCGTTGAGTTTGTTGACTTTGCTCGAAAAAACCTACATGGCTAGGCCAGGACATTTTCCCCCCATGGCATTGCGCTGTCTCCTTAAGGTGTACTTGTCTGGCAATCTCTCCATAACCTGGAGCCCAGTGGCTTGGTCGAATGCCATGGCTACTTGGGGAGGAAAGCTCCATGTCTGTTCTGCATCTGGGGGTCACAAAGCATCAGCCCGCATTTTTCCGATCACTCATTGCATTTGAAGTCAGAAAGGGGGAACCTGATACTGAATTACTGTCTTGCATCTTTTTGGAATTAATATGAATTAATATAGTTCAATCATGGGAGGACTCACTCTTGACATCTCTTGAAAGTGACCAACACAGATCAAAATCATCTTGTAAGCCAATAGAATATCAATATCCTAAACGGTCAAAAAATCCGCGCTATTGGGTTTATATACCCAAAGCAATCAAAAGGCCAGATTTCACCACGAAAACGTGCTTTGTAGCAACCGTGATTGTACTGTTGCATCCAAAGGATTGAGCATGATTCATGGGGAGGTTTCCGTTTAGTCATGGAGGTACCCCAGTTATCATCCGTCGTCATCCAGTCGGAAAATGGACCATGACTTCACCTGGGTTAACCCAGGTTAACCCAGGTTACCCGGCCTGGTAAACATACAAATAGCTATTGAAAATGGCCCAGTCAAAATAGTGGATTTACCCATTAGTGATTTCCCATAGTTACTATTGTTGTCATGGATTTACCACTAGTAATATTAGGCTAAACCAACTATAAATAATGGCAAATCCACTATTTCTATGGGAAAATAACAATAGTAATTTCCCAGTTGTTATTTATAGTTTCCCAGGCCGGGTAACCCATGGTGATGTGGATCCCCATCACCATCATCACCCCGCCTGTTGCAACAGAGCTATGAATTGAGGCCCTCCCAGTACCTGCGAATGGAAGGCGTGGCGCGGACCATGATTTTCGCCTGCTGGTGGTGCCCCAGTGAATCGCGGTTGGGGTTGGGGTTCACATAGCTCTAATGAAACTTTTTCTGGTGCGTTTTACGCAGGGAATTTTCGGGAATGATCCACTGGCTAACTATCAATAATAATCCCAGCAACCCCGTTTTTCCCATCCATTCCCTACGTTTAGCACCACTAAGATAACTATATGGTTTATGGTAGATATATCTATACTTACTAGTTTATAATTTATAAACCAATTTATAACTGGGGCACAACCTTTTTTTGTGATCACAACTTAGCCATTTCCTGGGAGTGTCCAGCAAAAACGAGTCCCTATGAGTGGCTGCACTAACCCCACCAATCTCTCACCTCCACCAGCTTACATCCCACGACACCAGCTTCACACTGCCCTTTGGAAAGCCCATCACTGGGGAAATCACTAGCCCATCCTGTTCATTTGTTGGTGATCATATCATCACGTGGTTTCTTACTGCTTAATATGTCTGGTTATGACATTCACAGTTTGCCATGGAAAGATCCACCCATTTTTAATAGGTAAACCCAGGTAAACCATCTATTTCTATGGGCCATCTATACCATGGCGAACTGTTAGTCATAACCAGAGGGTAATATTTTTATTGGGTGCCTGTTGGTTGAAGAAAACCTGTCACAAAGAAATCATTGGATTATCCACCTATTATCAAACCAGGAGCTGTTGTTGAGTTACCACTAGCCCCACCGTCCGGCCCCACCCCCCCGGTGTTTCATGGTTTCATGGTGCCTAGTCTACACTACGCACTGGAGAATCCGTATGGGGAGATCATAATAAGTGTTGATTCATACGTAGGTCGCCTACAACAGTTGTACCTGATTTTACCTCATGTTTATTGTTATGGGGTCTCTGAATGGTCTTGATACTAGTCTGTCGGTTTCCAACACATTCAAAAAATTCTGTGCAGAAATATGTTCCGTTTTTTGTGTTCAGCTCTATATTCAGTAGCATGGGGTATAGGTAGATCCCATAGCTGGATAGCTGGGAATTATTAATGAACCCCGCACAAACATGCTATTCATAGGTATATACCCTCTGGTGAACTAACATAGCAATGGAAAATCACCATTTTTAATGGGAAAATCCACTATAAATGGCCATTTTCCATTGCTATGTTAGTTCACCAGAGGGTATCCAGAGTCATTTGTTTCTTGAAACTAACCATGTAAATAGCGAAACCAATGATCAACCACCATCTGTTTATCATTGTTTAACGTTATTTTTCAACGTTCTCGGAGAAAGCCAACTGAATATCAGAACTGGATACAGGATTCTGGCACAATACCAGGGTTAACGAGTTACAAAATGGGATAATATTCTCCTTGAATACAGATGTATACAGATGATATTCTCAGTGTATACCGTACAGAACTCGCCACTAAACTCACTATATAAACCAGTTCCATATTCAGGACCATCCGCTCAATGTGGCACCCCGCGCATCGGACCCAAGAGTTCTTCCAATGCATTCCTTGGAAGAGCAATGAAAGCCAAGGAAGGATGTCACACACACAAAGACATTGGTGTTGAACTCCAAGATATGCGGCTTATTCCAAAGATCTGGGGATAACCGTGGTGATTTAACAAAAAAAATAGAGGAATATATCCACCAACGAAGAAGGATATACAGTGACATAGCCTGCAGAAATCGCGGCTGGAACCGAAGAAATGGCATGTATATAATATACTGTATATGTGTTGTCATGTCAAAGTACTTCGCGAAGTTGGTTAAGTCACCATTTGTGTTAGCTGTTAGTTATTGTTGGCTATATATATATATATACAACTCCTAAGTTTTAATGGTAAAAGTAATAATCCCTGTTTTACACTATTCTCCCAATTATTAGTTTTGTTATATAGTTATTGCAAATAATGCTATGTGTCCGTGGTAAAATCCATGAGGCTGAGACCAAAGTCACCTTTGGCGAGTGGGGATAGATACTCCCCATAGATCCAGTTCTTTTTTTTTAATCTCAGTATTTGAGGGATGTGGTATATGTGTTCATACAATGATATATCATATATGTGTGCTCCCAATATCATCCATCAATATCCATCATCCAGTCTCTATGCAACTGTTGCGCTAGCGTAAAGTCACGTACTAAGTGTGGAAACTTATGGGAAAGCCCGTTGGGAAAGAAGATCTTGACATCATTGGGTCTTCCACATCTAAACGTTTACAGGAGGGTAACCATTACTAAGTATGGGAGTTCATCAAATTCAAATGGATCTGGCCCGTTTGCAGGTGGTTCCCCTCCCCATCATGGGCTCTCATGGGATATAGCCTCTGGGTGACAAAGTTATGGTATGGCCCATAGAAAAACATGATAAACATCAGGATTTACCTACGTTCCACAAAAGGGTGATATTCCATATCCAAGCGTTAAATTACCAAAAGGTATGGCTTCTGGCAGGGTTGATTGTTGTACCCGGGAGACAAACAACGACAGGTCTGATCGGTTTGATGACATGGAGCGGACCCGGTCGGAACTCCAGGCTTCTGTTGGGGTGAAACAAGTCCATCTATCATCTATATATGATTGTATAAATACTGTATGTATACGTAAATACGTATATATATATATTATATGTATGTATGTATGTATACATATATCATATATATATATATTAGAAAGAGAGAGAGAGACTTATTGTATAGATACATATGCTTTCATACGAACGTATGTATATATATATATATTATGTATATACAAATGTGTTTGGTTGTATATATGATTCTTTCTAGATGTGGTAAAATTCATGTCAGCCCCCAGATCCGACGCTTTTGCAGCTGTTTTACGGCGGCTGGTAATGCCAGCAATCTGAACATGTCCCACTGCAGGGAAGCCGTTCGAATCCAGGATTCCACTCTCGACATCTCTGGAAACTGGAAGTGATAAGGAGATTTCACCAAAGAAATTGGGGATTCCACCAGCAAACACGGGGCTTTCTGAAATCCCAACTATGATATTCACCGGCTTGATTATAAACGGCTTCTAGATTTACTTTGAAACTTAATCTGGGATGGATCGGTTGGATTTCCAGATGGACATGGATCAAACATGATCAAACCAAAGGACGTGAAAACCATCATAACCAGTCGCCATGCAGTCGAATGGACCCGGCCATGGCCATCTAAAGCGTACACTTGTGGCGAAGCGGATCATATATTCCTCTACAGATACATGCAGGTATAGTCCGGTATAGTATGTCTTTGTACCATGGACCCTACATGAGTACATATTCAATATATGCATTCAGAATATGTATATATATATATATAGAGAGAGAGAGTATACCCTCTGGTAAACTAACATAACTATGGAAAATCACAATTTTTAATAGCAAACTGTTAGTTTACCAGGCCGGGTAAATAAATGTGATCCCTGGCCAAATCCCATCCCGCTCACCAGTGACCGTGGTCAGTGTGGACCTATACCTGGTTGGTGGTTTTTCGCCACCCCTCTGAAAAATATGAGCCAGTTGGGATAATGAAATTCCCAATATATGGAAAAATAAAAAATCTTCCAAACCACCAATCAGTTATATAAAGTACCGAAACCATCTATCCAAGGGTAATTTAAGATAGCTATTGAAAATGGCCATAGAAATAGTTGATTTACCCATTAAAAATGGTGGATCTTTCAATAGCTATGTAAACGTTTACCAGAGGGTAAGAGCCATGTCCAAATGGAATCCTGGAACAATCTCCATGGAGTTCGCCCTGGAGACAAAATTAAATGTGTTCTGCTGGCGCCCGGTGGATCGTCACCGCATCGGATCCTCATCCGATCACATGAAGAGGACCCGATGAATGGTCAACAAAACGTCACCTGAGTCATGGCCAGGGCTGCACATGCTATAAGTTCATGGTAGGATATATATATATACACATATATATATATTATGTATGTATTATGGACACCACTGCATTCGAGTTGAAAGGGCTTTGCTTTAGCAAACCAATTTCATATATTACAGTAACGGCATGGCCGCCTTGGATGAGTCTCCCAGTTGCTGCACCGGCATGGTGATGCAGCACCCGCACCGGCATTTCCGTGATGCAGGTAGTTGAGTTGAACATCTAATCATCACGGGTAGCATCTTTTAAGCAATTCACGTCAATTCGATCCCAATTCGCCCACCAGTGATCTCTGCCTTGTACTGCGCCGTCCTCTGGTGCGGACATGGGGTACTGGTGGCATCAGGACACGCTTGCTGAAACTTCAGCTCTGCCTCCTGACGCGAGCGGTACCAAAAACCATGAATCGTCACAAGAGCAATAGAGATAACCCATCACTGGGGAAATTCAACTATTCCAGACATATGTGTGTCGGTCTGCCTGTCGGTCTGTAGGAATGTATGAATGTACAAATGTATGAATGAACGTATGAATTTACGAATGCATGAATGTATGAATGCATGTATCTGTAACACATATCACAGCTGGGTTATAATATGGGCAAATTACCCGCTGTTCCTGGGATGCACTCCCAGGTAATCCATGAGGTGAGCACGGTCGAAGACGTTTTTTTTCTCTTCACCAAAAATGGGGGGTTGGGCTTTAATGATCTCTCATAACAAACCATTGACATAGCTCCTGGAAAAAAATGGAACCAACATAACTATCAGAATCCTTGCTTGGGGGGTCCCCGAGTTAGACAAGCACATATATGTCCAATGACCTATGTGTGGATAGTCAGCTTCGAGTGGATCTATTTGAAACAAAGCACACAACAGAACATCACGCAAGTCTTGAACTCTGTTTTTTTCCGTCTCTATACACACATACATACATAGTATTCTAAGATACTGTTTAAAAGATGTATATCATGGACACTGCTAGATCCTGTCATTGACATGGTCTCCAGTTTGGAATTCAATTCTGACTAAGATGGGGAAGAGACCCAGATGTTGCAATAATTGATCACTGGCTGGTGGTTTTAACCATCTCCAGTGGGGTAAATGGAATTTTCATGGGATTCTGAATGGAATTTTATTCCTGGTTGGTTTCAACATGTTTCAACCTACCCCTCTGAACAATGATGAACTTCGTCGGTTGGGATGATTACATTCCCAATAATTATGATGGGAAGTCATAAAATTCATGTTCCAAACCAACAACCAGATCTTTTTATTCCCATGATATGCAAAGTATCTTGCTTAAATTCATTGAATTTCCGCTTAAATGTCGTTGATCAAACTGATATTCCCATGATGTGCGCATGATATTCCCATTATCTACCCAGTGGTGCTAGGGATAGGTTAGATCCACTTCATGATTCCCAAAAAAAACATTCTATCCCATTATAGCCCCACTCTATCCCATTATGTTATAACTACCCCCTGGTAAATTAACATAGACCCTGAAAATCGCCAATTTTTAATGGAAACTAGTCTTCCAACCCCGATGACTGCCAGGGTCTATGTTAATTTACAAGAGAGTATTTACAAGTATTTACCATTACGTAGCATTGTATCCCCATAGAGTTGCGAGATTTTTTTCTACCAGTGAAATGCTGGGTGAAATCACCATGAGTCTTTAGACATAAGTAATGATTAGTTTTACTCCAGCTGGTGATTCTTATGTACATTTCTTTTTTTGGTAACTAGAACTGTTTGATAATTTACATCAGTAATTCATATTACCACATGCCAAATTGATATTCCCATGGATCTTCCCATTAACCTCTGGTAATGACTAACAGTTTGCTATTGAAAATGGTCCTTTTATGTTCCTATTCACCAGAGGTGATTTTCCACAACTCGCTTTTTCTATGTTTACTCTAGAGGTGTTTGGTGGTGTTTGGATGGTCAACTCTACATACCCCCCATTTCTTCCCATATTTTCATGGTTTATTCATGGTTTATACGACCCATTTGAGTCAATCTCCATGAAATCCCAACTAAATTCCCATGGTTCTCACCTCATCCGGAGTCCAAGTCCGATTCATTGGGCCTTCTGACCTTCGCTGAATTCGAGATACTGGATGCGTAGTCATGGGGCTGTTGTAAACATATATGAATAGAATTTAATAGATACACTATTACAACTTAATGTATATGTATGGAATAGATGTGTATATATATATACATATGAGTACGTGTATATATATATATGTATAGTTCATATGCATTTAAGATATGCATATGCAAAGGCATATATATATATATATACAGCACTCAATCTATATATGTATATGTATGTACATACATATTCATTTCAGGCGTGCATATCTGTATATACAACTGTATGACAATATATACATGTATATAAATATATACAGGTAATTTACATATGTCTACATATTGATTATGTGCAATACAACATATGTGTAATACAACATCTATATAAGGTACATTCATATACTGCACACTTCCCCAAAATACTACAACATAGTAAGATTGGGCCAAAACGCAAGCTTTCCATGTGCGCGCCAGCATGGATCTGCCATTTAGCTGATTGGAAACCAGTGCCGAGTATAACATGGTCCATTCAGAATGAACCCATCAAAACCATCATCTGCCGAAATGGTTTACCCAACTGCCGAAAATCGCCAAAAGAAATTCCCAACGAGTTCCGCACCAGCAAGGCTAGTTGGTTTACCCTCTGGTGAACTAACATAGCAATGGAAAATGGCCATAGAAATAGTGAGTTTTCCCATTAAGAATGGTGATTTTCCATTGCTATGTAAACGTTCACCAGGCCGGGTACCCAGTTCAGTTTCCCCCATGCAAAGAGTCCTTGGAGTTAGAGTTCTCTGCTTGGAATTCGACCAACAAAATGGCCTTGGAGACGGGTAACCGGGTAAGATTTGCAAACCTGGCCCATTGCTCATAGGGTTGCTGCGAGGGATTTTTATTGACAGGAAACCATGGTTCTTACCACAGTAGGTAGATAGATAGATAGATAGATAGATAGATAGATAGGATAAGATAGGATAAGATAAGATAAGATAAGATAGATAGATAGATAGATAGAAAAAACAGTTTTCTGGAATTGATGCGTGCAACCCAACTTTTGGGCAGTGTCCAACACCCTCTGTCATACCATGATACTGCTTGTTTGATAGGTTCCCATAATGGGACATGAAATTATCCCCAAAGGACTCGGAGAGTATAACCCTCCATGATATGATATCTAATCAACAAGGATACCCTCTGGTAAACTAACGTAACTGTGGAAAATCACCATTTTCAATGGGAAATGTTCAATAGCTATGTTAAATTACCAGAGGGTATCTGGAAAACTACTCAGCTGATATTGGATCACGTTTTCGGTTAGACAAAAAGAATCAATCATAGGAAATTTGATCTTTAGTGGTCCCGTGGGCCCACCAAACAATACCGATCATTGATTTTGATCCCCATTTGATGTCAAAAAGTTAAAAATCCGCCTGGCCTAAAACTCAGTTTTTTTGGCTGATGTCACCCGATTCTCTGATGGACTCATTGAACGGAGATGTAGAAGAAATTGGCTAAATGATTAAACAACAACACATCAAAAATAGAAATTACCCTCTGCCTATTTAACATAGCCATGGAAAATGGCCCATAAAAATAGATGGTTTACCTATTAAAAAATGGGTGGATCTTTCCAGTTCGCTAACTGTGAATGTCATAACCAGATGGTATCCCGTCATTACCCTCTGGTAAATTAACATAGACCCTGGCAGATAGGGGTTGGAAGACTAGTTTCCATTAAACATTGGTGATTTTGAGAGTCTATGTTAATTTACCAGAGGGTAATCCCACTAAACATGGTCCACCAGTTTCACCAACAAAACGGCTTCTACGAAGCCGTGGGAGCCGTGGAAGCCGTGCCTTTTGAAAATCTCCAAGGCTTTCGTGGCTAGTGATTGAAGATTCCCCCCAAAAAAAAGCTGGGTAAGAAGTATGGAACCATAGTATATCCTAGTAATTATATCATAGTATATCATAGTATATCATAGTATTCTCCGATTTCTGGCGACACATTTAAGCATGAAACTACCCCAACTCACCTTTTTTCGCAAGCGCAGTTACCCAATGGTGCATTTTGCGTTGGTCACCGGAGTGGATGGGTCACGATGATGGATGTATCCAAAGTTCTATGCTTTTTCGATGATATTAAAACCAACTATCTGGACAAAAACAAAAAATCAGCATGATATATCATGATATATCAGGGATATAAATGCGAATCAACGGAGATATCATTGAATCATGATTTATTCAATTGCGAATCGCCCAGCCAGAGCCACTGTGAGTTGGTGAGGTCCACGTCCACGAGCTCGGCTTGGCACTGCTTCCAGGGATCCATCCTCAAATGCCATGGGGATTTTTTTTGGGATTTTTTCGGACAAAACATACTGGGAAGCGGAAGAAAATTGAAAGACAAAAAACTGGGTGTAGATTTCTTGTTTTTTGGATATCTGATATGCATCAAGTAGAATATAAATGAATACGTAATGAATATCAATGGTTCAGAACGGTACAAGCCACCTTTTAAAACGTATAACTTTCCAGCGTATGTCCCGCTCGCTTGCTATGGCTGAGGTGCCGAGTCGTAGTCCATTTAAAGGGTGGCAGTCTTTAGGTCGGTGCTGCGTTTTCTGAGATAAAATATTGATATAATATGATGTGTATATATATATGCATACGTATACATACACATATATATATATATACATACATACATATATATATATGTATGTATATATGTATATATGTATACATAAATATGTATATATATATATGTATAATTGTATATAATTGTATATAGTTGTGTATAGTTGTACATGTACTTATTTGATCTTATCTGTATGATATGGCTCTGGTAGTCATCTTTTGAGTTAGGAATTCCTGTTAAACGGCTGAGGATTCCCCTGAGATTCGACGTGCCAAGCATCTTGCAGCTTCGCGCCTTGCACGCCACGCCTTGCACAGTCAGGTTTACGTTGAAGCCCTCAGCCAGACTGATGCGATACGCGTCCTGCGTACGAAAGGGCCATGAAGAGGCTTAGAACGTACAACGGGGTATTAACGATTCATCATATTGTACATGTACATGTATATATATATACATCCATACTATGTAATAGTATTAATACATATTAATACTATGTATATAGCGCATGTATATAATATCTGTATTAATGTATATATATATACATATCCATACTATATAAATGCATATTTATCTATATATGTATAAATATAGACACGTAATGATTATGAAATATGATAAATTACAGACGTATATAATATTGGTCCGAGAAGTCAGTCCAGCCAGTGGCCCAACCTATTGGTCGTCCGATAAGCGGGATGTATATCCAAACAGTATATTCAGCAGGATCTAATCAATATTGTGATATTAGCTAATGTTTATATTAAGTGATATTGAAATTAGCTTATCAACAAAACAGGATGTGGTGATATATCAATGTTAGACCAAAAAAGGGGTCTAATATCGATATTAGCTAAGGATCATGGTGATGTAACGGAAAGTCCCATGGCGAAATGATAGAGTGGCACCATCCATCGACGCAAAGAAAAAGAGCCTGAAAGCTTCACGATCATCATGGGGAAGGCGATTTTTTTTCATGATACAGTGGGAAACTCAGTCAAAAAAACAATGGCCGGCAAGAATAACTGCAAATTTTCATGTGGATATTACAGTTTTTTTGGGATATCATAGGGATATCATGGGGATAAACTGGCATCATGCGGATATTAATACATCAATGGGAATGGAAAACATACCAGTTTATCCCATTGGTCATGTGTGACACACGATCAATCAATGGGAAGATCATGCGGATAAACTGGCATCATTGCCGTGAAATGCGGGAAAATCTCAGCCGTAGAAGTGACAACCAGCAGCCGGGGACTACCCTCCAGTGTTACCAAACCGTGCTGGAAAAACATCCGTCTAGTTGGATGATGATTTTCCAGATAACACCTCCATGTTTTTCGCTGGTGGTTGGTATACCTACCTATCCCTCTGAAAAATGATGGAGTGAAAGTCAGTGATGATGAAATTCCCAATATATGGAAAGTCATAAAAGCCATGTTCCAAACCACCAACCAGATAGTGGATGATAGTGGATTTCAAATTGCCATCTTTGCAGGGTACGGTTGTGGCATCCCAGCTACAACCACAACGTTGTGGGACGCCCCCGAGCCCCGGGGCCTCTTGATTTCCAAAAGTAAACTCCGCCATCGTTGCTGGGGATGTCCTGAAGAACCCAACATCACCAACCAATAGACAAAAGTAAGAAAATGGATGTAATTAACAAATGTTTGGAAAATCATCATTTATGGTTGGAAAACCCATCATTTATGGTTGAACCCGCAGAATATCATCTAATAATCCCATTACAGTAAATAATTATATATATAATATAGTATTTCATAAGGGGTGGAAACGAGATGGCAACACAAAACATAGCAAACATAGCACAACAACACGGAGGAACACAACATTAAACAACATAATGGGAGATGTTTGAACACGCAAGTCTGATGGAGAATAGTAAGAAAAGAGCCGGGGTTTGAGTTCAAGTGTTCACAATCTTACCATGCAACAAAACATGTCTTGTTGCTCAGTAAACTGCCATAAAACATGGCAAAATATGGCATTACCTTGCCATACGCCTTGCAATACGCCTTACCATGCAAGCTGTGGCTGGCCCCTAGATGTTGGAGCATTGTACAAATTTCTGAAATTGGCCTTTGCCGCTATTTGGAACTCAGCTTTTTCCTTTGACTAGCTTTGGCAAATGTGGTGAACATGATGCCACTGTGGAACATGCACTGTGTGCTTGCAGATGCACGAAACAGTGCTATAATGTTCTGAGAACAGAAGCAGCAATGGTTCCACCCAGATGGTGTGGACAAGCAGTTTTGTTTTTTTTTTCCAATGATACAATGTCGACAAAATTTCGAGATTTGTTACAGCTTGTTTTCACAAGCTTTGGGTCATTTAGTTACTTTCAAAAATGCTTTTGACACAAGGGCAAAAAGCAAAGAAGGCACAAGCGGAAGGTTCGTTTCTATTTCTCACATTGGGTTTCAACATCAAAACGATACTTTTTGCCAGCACAAACGGTGACCAGTGAAAGACTGGATCATGTCGCTGTGGGAGCTTGTCCTTTCATTGTCCGGGTGTGAAACTGATTTATCTGATCTGTGGACCCATTTCGGTCAGGACGTAACTGCAAACGGCAGTTGTCCTGGTACCATACCATGCAAGGCTTGCTGCCGAGCTTCAAAACCGATGTTTCTGAGCAAACCCTCTGCGATTTGGCCTTGAGCTGGGCGAGCCAAAGAATGGGGCCTAACTGGACTTTCATATGCCATTTCAGTGTGCCTGAAAACATGGTATATACCCATGTATACCCCCATTCATGGCCAATTTTGTCTGAAAGATGATCAAGGATGATGATAAACCATAGGAATTTAGGGGTATCCTAGCTTCAGACCCATTTTATAGCTTGCTATTTGGCTACAATGATGGGCCTCTGCTATAGTCTGAACTTGGAGTCGGCTGGGAGTTGCTGATCGCTGGCTCGAATGGCCAAGTGTTTTCAAACGAACATTGGACAATCAAACGGAGACATTCGCATAAACAAAACTCTGATCCAGAACCCAGAACATCTCTCTAAACTCAGTTTATAACTTAGCATAGTTCAAATGACATGCACTAGTGGGATATGACAAATCACGGCGGGGCCATATGACGATGGACCCGACGGCACGACGACAATGTGCCGACGGCCTGACGGCGATAGCTCGGCAGCACGACGACGATGTGCTGACGGCACGACGACTATAGACATGACGGCATGACGACGGCATGACGACGACATGACGACGGCATGACGACGAGGACACGACGGTGCGACGACGGAGCGACGACCGTCATAAGCCCGGGTTCGGCGTCCAACCCCAGCTTATGACGGTCGTCGCTCCGTCGTCGCACCGACGTGTCCTCGTCGTCATGTCGTCGTCATGCCGTCGTCATGCCGTCGGTCTATCGTCGTCGTGCTGTCGGCACATCGTCGTCAGGTCGTCTTCATGCTAGTGACATAGCCACTCCGTCGTCATAGGGCCCGAACTATCGTCAAAAGCCTCCCGTCGTGGAGCTCCTGCTTCCACTAGAAAACCTGGCTTGCATGTGTTTAGAATTTAGCTAATTTATAACACTTTATAACCACCTTGGTTACAAACCTACATATTTTCGCCCGCAAAAAAACGTCCGATCCGTCCCCGCCTCAACGACGCAGTTCCCTGTGACGCATCCGAATCGTTTCACGCGTCGTAGCTGCTGGGGGGTCCTCTTGGGCTCGACGCTCGTCAAGAAACCTCAGTGGAGGCTTCGTAGGTTACCCATGGTTACCCTCTAGCGTTTACTAACATAACAGACATAACATATGTTTATGTTAGTAATAATAGTGTTTATGTATGTGTATGTTAGTAATAATAGTGTTTAACCAACATTACATATGTTTATGTAAACTAACTCTGTTTACTCTATAATAGGTAAATTATGTGTATGTTAGTTTTTTAATACCCTATAGTTAATCATCTTAATAGGTAAGTATTCTCTAAATTGGCAATGTTCTTCCATTTTCCATAGCTATGTTTTTGTCTTTCGGTTAACTTTTAGGTGCTGAATATGACGAATTCGTTCGGAGTATGAAGCAACTAACACCTGTACGAATCCACATGGCAGTTCTATAAGTTCGCCCCCCCAGTTATAAGGATGAAAAATGTGTTGTTCCTAATCCCCAGGAGCTATAGTTATATCATATAATATCTGGCTGGTGGTTGACCTACCCCTCTGAAAAATATGTTCGTCAGTTGGGGTTACTATTCCCAACCAGATGGAAACAATCAAAATCATGTTCCAAACCACCAACCATATATATATATATGTATATATATATATGTATATATATATATGTATATATATATGTATATATATATATATACATTATAAACCTATATCCGATATTCACCATAATCCCCATGATATCCACCATAAATATTCAGCCTATCGAACTTGCAAAGCAACCAGGCTGGTAGGACTTGGTGATGACGCACTGCGCAGTGCAGGACCTGCTCGGTCAAAGGTCGAGCCAAATGGGCCCCCCTTTGGGTTTAGTTTGAGACACATTACGAGAAGATATATGGCTGAATCTCTGAGAACGGGGGCATCAAGAATCTATTATCTGTTGTTTTTTGTTTTTTCGATATGTTCCCATTGTTCGCCATTTTTGTATCCATTCTCTGAGCTCTACTCATATGTTTGTCGCTTACAGTTTCCACTTCCTCACACTTCCTCTCTGGGATGTTCGCATCTGATCATGCAACTGGCATGATGCAACTGACTGGTGGGTTGTAGCAAATCCCTTCAAAGTGGGTAGATCAAGTGTTGATTCATGATGCATGTTGATCCTACCTAAAGATACGTAGATACGTATAGATAATAGTATAGATAGTCAAATATAAATCGAAGCCTATTTCATGAATTTCATCCCGGGTGAGGCCCCGGTCACCGCAAGTCACCGCAGGTCACCGCTTCAGCCCCAGCAGCTGAGGGGGATAAGGACCTTGCTCATGGTCACGGCACAGGTAGGGGTCGTTGATCATCTTGTCCCGACCTGTTGGAAGGCCCTGGGAAGATCATCCCGCGTGGATTTTGTTATAGCACGCCATGTGGCTACCAACACACCAGGGACTCAGTCTGCAGCGGTGGACGGTTAGTAACGGGTAGTACATGTTCATACTATTACAAGATATTAGAAATGCAACTGCAAGGCTGTTGTAGCTGTTGCAGCTGTTACAGCTGAATCATGACAGTTCTTATGTGATGTTCTTCAGTCCATTGCAGCTTGGCAATAGGGCTTGGTCATGGTTGGTCATCACCGCGACAAGATTTCCTGGACGTCGTGACCTTCGGATACGAACTCCTAGTGATCCCATGCTTCCCATTAAATCCCATGAAATTCCCAGCAGAAACCCCTATTAAAATCCCAGTTGAAATCCCATGAAAAATCCCATATTCCCAGATGTTCATGAGGTTGGAACTGTAAAAACTGCCCCATCACAGGTTCCTGTTTCACCTGGCCCATCAAGCCCATCAGATGTATACTTTTTGGGAAGATCCTCTATAAATCAATGGGGTGGATGGTGACTAATAGATACTACCCTCTGGTTATGACTAACAGTTCGCCATGGTATAGATGGCCCATAGTTAAATAGATTGTGTTTACCTATTAATAGCATGGGTGGATCTTTCCATGGCAAACTGTTAGTCATAACCAGAGGGTAGATCACCATTAATTACTATTAGCCATCAATAAGCACCATTAATCACCATTAATGCACCAACCATGGATCTCAATAGATACATATAGATACTAGATCATATTAAATCTCATTAGATCCCATTAAACCACCATTTTAGATCCCATGTTGACCAATTCAGAAACCATTATTCAGAAACCATGGTGACTTTCATAGATCAGGACTGGCAGGACATCATCCCTTGATCCCTTCCGGGTCCAAGTGGCAGAAGTAGTGGGTCCCATTGCCACATGGCAGGTCCTGCCCCAAATCCTGCGATGGCAGTCACATCTGAGTGGTTCACTCTCGGCCAGCCGGGCCCATAGGCCACCAGCCGGGCTGGAAGGGAGGTCACTTTAAGCAATGATCCCCCCGAAAGTCCAAACATTGATTGTTTTCAAACATCTACAATGTTCTGAAGCTGGAGTTCTTCTCCATTCCCACCCTGCGGGGGTCAAAACTGTCTATCATGAATTTTGTGCCTCCATCTTTGTTGTTTCAAGGGATAAATCCCAAAAACATTTCAGGACCAAACTCTCATTGAATCCAACTGTTCCGAATTTCTTTCACATTTCAAAGTGGCTTAAATCCAAATACAATTCTTCTTGCTTGAGTCCTTTTCGTCTTCCTTAAATCCAATGGTTTTTCTTTGTTCAACCGGATTCTGCCGACATCACCATCTCCTCCCAACAGTCCATGAAGACCTTCTCATCTGAACCTCGTGGAGTTTCAAAGACTTTTTTTGAATGGTATGGAATGGTCCATAGACATACCATTCTAAAAGTCTTTGAATATATATATATATATATACATACATATATATACATGTGTATATATATATATATGATTTGAACATAGATATACTTGGAATGGTCCATAGACTATATTTGGTTTAAACATGTAATACCAAATATACTCTTAGACACAAGTTTTATCACTTAAGTTCATGGCATGTCCTATCCACCACTCCACCGAGCAACAATCCGTGCGAGCCCACAAGCTGCTGACAAACAGGCCGTTGATCTCTGTGGTGATGGTCATCTGCCCATGTTTTGTGGCGACCCTCTGGTAAACATACAAAAAGCTATTGAAAATTGTCATAGAAATAGTGGATTTTCCATAGTTTTTTGTATGTTTACCAGAGGGTAAATATCTGTAAATCCCATGGTTAATCACCCCGAGGCTGAGGAACGACAAAAGACCAACGAAGCATTGTGGGGCCCGTTCAATCCTGAAAAATCGCCCAGAATCCTGAAAAATTACAAGCCTGGCCCACTAACCACTATATATCCCATGTGTGTGTTTTATTCATTATATCTATATATATATATATATATATCCTATTGTAGCCTCATTATGTTCCAATTTTGCTTGGTGTAAATTCCATTTACATAATATATTCCATACATTTGGGGATAACCATCCCCATTATTACCCAAGAGAGTCCGAATTTAACAGATGTTTTGATTACATAACACCATTTTGTCCCATGACATCTGTATAATTATGTATATATTCCCATAGTTCATTACTGTATATATTTCCACTTCATATTTTCCAAATCAGATATCGAACAACCTAAGACCATGGAACAATATAACCTCATATTTGTGGAACATTCATATATTTATGGTGATATAACTAACCTTCATATAATACCTTGAAAAAAACATCATTTTTAGCAAATTTTCAGTGGAATCAATATATGGAACAACAGATTCTTCATATCTTCGCACCTGGTCGCCCTGCTTCAGCGGAGCTTCTGCGGCCGCGATGGGAAGGTTCTTGGTGCCCAACCTTGGGACCAAGGCTGGCTGGTTTGTCTACAGTGTATATATATAATATATATATATATATATCTGGTTGGTGGTTCAACTCCTCTGAAAAATATTAGTCAATGGGAAGGATTATTCCCATATATCATGGAAAATACACATATATATATACACACTAGTGAAAAACAAGATCTTGATTATTCTACTTCTATTTCCATATCAATCCATGTCATATATGTCCATAAATGAAAATTTGATCCAATTCTCTATGTTGCAAACATCTATCTGGGAAGTGAATGCAGAACCTTCATTGAATCCGTGGACTTGTCACAGACTTCGATAGACATGGATCATGTACGGAGCTACGTAAAATTTGATGTTTAATCTGTATCTTTGTGTACACACATGTATCTCTATAAAGTTTATTTGTTTATTCCATGCATAATTATATATACACGTATGCACATATGTATCTATATTATATATATATTATATACATTTATCATTGTGAAATATTGTATTCATGTATGGGAATCATGTCAAGTAGGATGTTCATGTGTTATTTTCTAAAGCCAATAGGACCAATGCTGAACTCCCGCCCATCGGTGTGACCCCAGTGGCCCAAACCGATTTCCCCAGTGGATTTCCAGTGCATGGATCATGATAATCCCCAAGTAATAGTGGGTAGAAGAATCCTCCCCACACAAATCATCAACCAACCATCATTTATCAATGATATTCCCATATGTTTGATAGTTAAAACCCCAAAAAAGCCCTATAAAGGATGCTTCAGTCCCCAAAAAATCAACGAATCAACAGGGATTCAGTGCAGCCACACATCAAACACCGTTCCTCGTCAAGGTACCAAAGGTCTTGGGTGCACTGGTTCACAACTTGGATCTGGCGCTTTGGTAATGGTGCCACAAACGCAACCATGATTGTAACAAAAGAAAAAGAACAAGTAGAGAATTAAAGAAACATGATGTATAATATTGTATAATATAATGACATTGGTCCAGCCAAGAAAATTATGGTTGAAAACATCATTTCAATGGGATTCAAGCCTTAAAGTTTGTGTTTTTTTCGTGTCAATTTCCGACAAACCAGTGGGGCTTACTCTCCCAACCTCTATAGGTACTGTTGGCCCAAAGCCTGAAAACTATACGAACTATATCAGTTGTTCATTTATTCAAACAAACTCGGATCACCATCTATAAAACGAAAAATCAACATATAAATCACCATGGTAAATTAGCATGGTAAATCCCATTACAACGAATCTTGGTCATTGACATCAACATGACCTTGGGAAACCTCCGTCCCCCACCATCAATTTCCCCCGTTCCTCAACGTGATCCGCCGCAACCAGGGAGGTCAGCAGTGCCCAGAACACCTTCCGGACCATGGCGCCAGCGTCGAAACCGCGCGCGAACCGCGCGTTGAGGTGGCACTAATCATCCACTGGCACTGCGGTAACAGAGAAACGACATGGAAAAAATGTTTCGGTTCTCAAAATTGTTATGAACCTTGGTTAATGTTGGTGATGCTGTCCCATTATATAATGTTGGTTAATGTTGATTATACTTCCATTAATGTTGGTTAATATTGTTGTGGAACACCAATTTTTGTCCATCCAGCCTTTGGAGATCTCAAAAATGGTAATCAATGGGAATTTCCCCGAAATCTGCGCTACGAAATCATCATGTCAAGATCAATGTTCATCATGTTCCCTCTTTTTTCAGTTGGACTGGACAGGCATGAAAGGTTTTTTCCAGGTTTTTCCCTATGATCACGTTGCAGCCTGCTAGTTGCGTCCAAAAAATAGTAATTTAACCAAGAATAAATGGGGCGTAATGGAACATCCTGGGGTGTGGTACCTGAAAATTGGCGATGAGAACATGATGATGGTCATTGTCCAATTTGCGGCAACAAACCACACATCCACACAATATCATCACAGATCGTCGATGCCAAGATACCCAGCTGACACTGGTTCAATCTCCCGATGAGGTTGCAATATGAAACCCACCACAGGGATGTTTAGGGCCTCAGAAACCACAACAAGCCGCCCAAAAACCCGCGAAACCGCTGCGGTAGAAGCGGTAGGGCAATTCGGAACCCAAGAATTTGGTGTTGATAAAACCAGACAACAAAGGAATGTACGGTGTTTTTGTCTTCCGTGCACCCTGAGCGCATCTGAGAACAGACCGAAGACGAACAGCATTCCTTGTTTTTGTCAAATTCCAAAATTTCCATAGAGTTCTCACATTCGCCTTATAATAACTATGGGATTCTATGGGGGTCCATAGCAGAGCAACTCATCATTGCTCTGTTATCAAACCCCCAAGTTGACCCTATTCACGGGGTGCGAACCTAAACAAAGGGGGCGGGGCCTCCATGCGTGGATTTAATCAAAACAACTTGTGATTTATAACAACATCTTTGTGTGGGGTTCTTGTTTTTGATTCTGTATCCCGCCGCCTCACCCGCCTTGCTCGCCCGCCTCGCCGACACACCACTTTGTCACACACCACTTTGTCAACACCATCTCTCAAACACAACTTTATCACACACCATCTTTGACACACCACTTTGTCACACACCATCTCTCACACACCATCTTTCACACACACACGCACCATCTTTCACAACTTTATCACACACCATCTCTGGCACACCGCTTTGTCACACACCATCTTTCACACACCACTTTGTCAACACCATCTTTGTCACACACACACACCATCTTTCACACACAACTTTGTCACACAACATCTTTCACACAGCATCTTTGTCACACACAATCTTTCACACACCTTTGCCACAAACCATCTTTCACCACACCATCTTACACCCACATCTTTCACCCACATCTTTGTCACACACCATCTTTCAACACACCATCTTTCACACACCATCTTTGTCACACACCATCTTTCACACACAACTTTGCGTGGTAGGCGTGGCACTTGGTGACATCCACTTTCGTTTTGCGTGGCAGGCGTGGCACTTGGGGCACAGTGGGCTGGCTCTGGTGGCGCGCTTGGGGCGGGATTAGTCGCCGGTGACGCCGCGGCACTTTGCGTGGCAGGCGTGGCACTTGGTGACATCCACCTTCCTTTTGTGGCAGGCGTGGCACTTGGCGGCATCTACCTTCGTTTTGCGTGGCAGGCGTGGCACTGAGGGCACTGGGCTGGCTCTGGTGGCGCGCTTGGGGCGCGATTAGTCGCAGGTGGCGCCGCGGCACTTTGCGTGGCAGCCTTGGCACTTGGGGGCATCCACCTTCGTTTCACGTGGCCGGCGTGGCACTTGGCGACATCCACCTTCGTTTTGCGTGGCAGGCGTGGCACTTGGGGCACAGTGGGCTGGCTCTGGTGGCGCGCTTGGGGCGGGATTAGTCGCCGGTGACGCCGCGGCACTTTGCGTGGCAGGCGTGGCACTTGGTTACCTCCACCTTCGTTTCGCGTAGCAGGCGTGGCACTTGTTGACATCCACCTTCGTTCCCCACATCTTTGTGTGGGGTTCTTGGTTTTGATTCTGTATCCCCCCTCCGCCTCACCCGCCTCCGCCCGCCATCTTTGTCACACACCACTTTATCACCCACCATCTTTCACACACAACTTTGTCACACACCATCTTTCACACCCCATCTTTCACACACAACTTTGTCACACACCATCTTTGCCACACACACACACCATCTTTGACACACAGCTTTGTCACACACCATCTTTCACGCACAACTTTGTCACACACCATCTTTGACAAACCATTCACACACAACTTTGTCACACACCATCTTTCTCACATCATCTCAGTCACACAACTTTGTCAGACACCATCTTTCTCACACCATTTCACTCACACGACTTTGTCACAGACCATCTTTCACACACCACTTTGTCACACATCATCTTTCACACCCAACTTTGTCACACACCATCTTTCACACACCACTTTGTCACCCACCATCTTTCACACACCATCTTTGTCACACACCATCTTTCACACACCATCTTTGTCACCACTCACATCATCTTTCACACACCATTTTGTCACACACCATCTTTGACACACAACATTGTCACACACCATCTCTCACACACCATCTTTCACACACAACTTTGTCACACACCACTTTGTCACCCACCATCTTTCTCACGCACCATCTTTGTCACACACCATCTTTCACACGCCATCTTTCACACACAACTTTGTCACACACCATCTTTCACACACCATCTTTGTCACACACATACACACACCATCTTTCACACACCACTTTGTCACACACCATCTTTCACCACCATCTTTCACCACACCATCTTTCACACATAACTTTGTCGCACACCACCTTTCACCACACCATCTTTCACACACAACTTTGTCACACACTCTCTTTCACACACAACTTTGTCACACACACACACCATCTTTCTTCGTCACACACCATCTTTCACATACAACTTTATCACACAGAACTTTGTTTTACTTCTCGATCCTCGACTCCACCACCTCCTTTGTCTTTCCTTCCTTCCCCGTCCCGGCTACAACAATTTGGTGCTCATTATTGGAAGAAGTTCCCTTGTGGGGTTATCCGGTCCTTAAATTCACTAGGCAAATGGGGGATTATATGATTCAACCATCAAACATTGAACCAGCAAAGAAATTGGATTTAACTACCAAGACTGTTAAAAAAAGAACATTGCATACCGGACGTTTGCCCGCCACAAATTCCACATTTCCTTTGACATGCGCAAATCCCTTCCTAGGACCAGCGGTTTTTCATTTTCCAATTTCCAGAACGACAAAATCAGAACCCTAACCTACATCCATGTGGATTCCTGCATTGTTTCTGCTCAACAGTGAATGTCCACCTTTGGACATTGTAAAACCCAAGTTTGCATGGTATGGTTTCTATGACAGATGTTCTATCCCCATTCTGATCATCGCTTCCAATAGTCATCGCAACACCCTTCCATCATCCGGGATGTTCCCACACAAATGGATTCATACGGCTTTGCACACTTTCTGACATCATTCAACGTATCTAGATATGTATATATATATATATGTAAAACTATATATATATTATACACAAATTAAAATATATACACCCATACTATATATATAAATATATATAGATATAGATAGATCTGCAAACATAGACCTGCAAAGCTCTGCAGACTACCTCCATCGACTCCTCCTCCATGCTCCTGCCAAGCCTATACCGTTTCAGCTCTTGCTGTGTGAGGACATCGCTGCACTCTTCAACCAGGTGCCACGCTTTCTGCTCTTTTGCGGCTTGGGTGAGTGTGGAGTGTGTGTGTCCCACCCACCACACTTGGCTGCCGCGAGGCAGTGCCAAAAGCATCGGCCGTCTGATAGAGATAGAGCTATAGAGATAGATATAGAGATAAAGATAGATTGAAAATATGGCCGTCTTGCTCACAACCCCAAAAAAGGACACCGAAACAGAGCCGCCTCAGAGATGATCATGGCCACATGGGTCAGCAGGAAGCCGAAGACGATGAAGTCTGGTCTCTCCTGTGAAGTTTCTCAGGGAAGAAAAACTATGGGGAAATCCATGGGGGTTTAAGAGTTAGTAATGCTTAAGATATTGGTTAATACATGGTTAATATCTGTTACTTCAATATTGTTGAATATATACCTGTACTGAGTAATGATTAATCATGGTTTATGTTGTTAATGCAACACGCAGCACGCGCAACGCTGAGTGCTAGCAAGCAGGTTCGTCACTCAGTGGATTTTTAACATTGTGATATGCAGTATTATATTGTATTATGTAAATGCATGTAACTAGATCCGTCCACATTTTCGGCCTTAAAGGGCTAGTAAATCGAAAGTTCGAAACGCATTTGGGTTTATTTTCCTATTCATACCTCGGTGCATTTACTTTTCTGTGAAAAAAACAGCCGGCATTTAACGTGCGAATTTCTGCCGGATGCATTTTGCGCTTCCCAAAAACAGCATCTGCGTTTCCTCCAAGGGTAAATTCTTTCGGGGTGTTGAAAAAATCAACGCCACTTGGAGGTACCCGTGTGGCTCTCATGAATGTGATGAGTATCTCATGATATGTCATGCTTATCGTCACTCCAATGCGTTTTCCCTATTCCAATAAGAGCATCCACTATCTAAATCAAGATAAACATATCTACTAGGATGCAGACCGGGAAAAATGCATTGGAGTGAGTGCTGAGCACGCGAGTGCTGGCACGCGAGTGCTGAGTACCAGCACGCGAGTGACGAAACAACTAAGTTACCCTTCGATAATCAAACCGCGCTGGCTAGGAAATCCCCGAACTAAATGGAGGTGTTAATAGGAAAATCATCTAAACATATTTAAACAGTGGAACAAACATGATCTTCGAGACCAATTTTTTCAGATAGTTTGTCAATAATCCTCTTCCCCAAATGCTCCATGGTGCCCGTGGTGGAATTTGTATCCAACATTTACCCCCAAAATGGCGCTGGCAGCTTCCTGGGCGCTGCAGTTCACCTCAAAATTTCAATCACTTGTTCATCTATGATTTTCTCGGTTTTCCCATGTGTTTCCTATGTGTTTCATTGCTTCTTCATGTTTTTTCCATGATTTTCGTTTTTTTTTCAAGTTTATTCCCAGGTTTTTCCGCATGTTTTCCCCACGCCTCCCAGGCCCAGTGGTAGAAACATCCCTCGGAGTCAAAGAACTCCACCTAGAGAGGTGGAAAGCTGTTCTCAGGCCCGAGGGGACACAAAAAAAATGGGATATGTATGAGGATTTCATGTTCTTTATGGGAAATCAATAGACTTCAATGGAGTTTGAATTGGGATTTGATAGGATTTCGTGATGTTATTGGGATCTGAATGGGGATTTCATGAGGATTTGATGGGGTTCTAATAATTGAGAACTGTGAAATTGTATGGGATATTCAATATTTCAACCCTCTGAAGAACTATGAATTTAGGTGGTTCAATCCCTAAGAATGGGATATTAATGGGATGTTCAGGGGGCCTCAATTGGAAAAAAAATATGGAAACACCGACGATAACGGGGATATTTTATGTATTTTTTGATTTAAACATTGTAAAGGGATATTCAATGGGATTTAACGGAAAAACAACCTGGCAATGGCACCCTCATAGGAATTCATAGGATTTTCCAGTGATTTTAATGGAATTGTCACTGGGAGTTGATGGGAATTTGAGGGGATAGACAGTAATGGCATAATGGGATATAACCATTGGATATCCGAGCAAAATTGTTTACAGTAATAGGGAAATTTCCCATGTTCTAAGTGTAGGATTCCTTACTGTGTTCAAAAAGGCGTGTTTTGTTGGGGAATAATTATGTTCTAAGTGGTTGCGTGTCAGCATAATTAGATCTAGTGGGATGTAATGGGATATTCAAACAACCTATGGGACCTTAATGGTCATTGAGGGGGAATATAGTGGGATAATATCCATTAACATGGTTTACAATGATCTATGGGAAAAACTTATTTAACTATTATATATAAGACCATAGTTTCAAGACCGGAATTTCCTCGATGAAATAGTGGGTTGTTGTTCTGTTGTTGTTTTTTACAGTCCATCCTTCACCAGCTCTAGGATTGTCAGGTTTGAAACCAAACTCAAGAAATCCATGGCTTCAGTATCCACAAAGTCACATGGTGTCTTACCAACAAACACTGGGATCTTGTCCATTTCTCACCGTTATCAAGATGGACAAATGAAAAAATGCCAAACAATCTCTCTTCGTTTTACCTGTCATGACAGAGTGTCACATACTACCCTGTGTATGTATTCTGTCTATGAGTCTATGATATATATATACATATATATACATACATATACATGTTCCTGTGAATATATGTTTATAAATATATATATTGCATAGATATGTACATGCATGTTTCCCTACATGTCAGGTGAGGGTTGTTAGATTTTATGTCAGCTGTCCCGCCGCCTTCTCCTCCGCCTCCGCCTCCGCCTCCCCCGTCGGACCTCAACTGCAAGCGCTATAGCAGTGTTCCCGGCCGGACCCCGCCAGCAAGCGCCAAGCGCTAGATCGCAGTGTTCCCCGCCGAGCAAACTCAGGAGCAGAGTGTTCCCCGCCGGACTTCAACTGCAAGCGCGCACTAGGGCGCAGTGTTCCCCTGCCAGACCCGAACAGCAACCTCTGGATCAGAGTTCTCCCCGCCGGACTTCAACTGCAAGCGCTAGATCGCAGTGTTCCCCACCGGGCCTCAACCACAAAGAATCCCCGCAGATATACCAGATAGATAGAATGCCAGAAAGAATGTCAGAAGATATGCCAGATACATATGCACAGAAAGAATGTCAGATAGAATGTCGGAACATATGCCAGAATTAATGCCTGAAAAGATGCCAGATAGAATGTCAGGATAGATGCCAGGTAAAATGCCAGAAAGAATGTCAGGGTATATGTCAGAAAGCAATTCAGAATAGATGTCAGACAGAATGTCAGATAGAACGTCAAAGTATATGCCAGAAAGAATGTCAGAATAACTGTGCCATATATATATATATCTATACATACTTCCAGATGGTATGTCAGAAACTATGTCAGAATAGTGGTTCTGGGTGGGGATCACCCGAAGAAAGCAAATTTCTGTACATGCACATCATGTGTACATGTTTACATTTTATTTTTGTATACATGTACGTTTATATATATATATATTTATATACATATATATATATTTGTACACATACACGTAAACTACATGTATAAATAAATAAATATATATATATATATGTATGTATGTATGTATGCAAATTTATGTACATATCATCTATCATATCTACATCATATCCAGTTTTTATCTCGCCGACTCGCACCTCTGAGCGTGAGAACACCAAGGCTTGGATGGCCACAGAATGCTGACCAATACCTTGAAGCAGCTAGGCATCCATGGTTGGTAAGGTAGTTTGTAGCAGTCGTAGCAAGCTAAAACACCCAATTTTGAGTCTGAGTACAATCCTATCGAAATAGCTATTTATTTACAGACTAATATATATATATATGTGTGTGTGTGTAATTGTATATAAAGTGCTGCTGTTTTGGGGTAACTGTAAGATGGTAAACCAAGTACTTATAACCGGGTATATTTGGAATTGCAGGTTTAGCTAAAAATATGCTACCGTACGGCAATTAACCCAAAATCCGACGGATTATCAACATTTACCCTTGGAATACATTCCTTTTTGGACTACAGTAGGCCGAAAAGAAATGACGGTTTATCACACCCTCAAATGGTAATATTTGGTATGCTATATATTCTTAATTTCACCGCATCAAACGGCTTATGAACTCTGACCTACAACAAATCTCATCAAATTGCGAGAAGATAAAAGGGTGACAGGGAAAGGGATCTGGCACCTTCCATTCCTATGACAAGTGCACGTCGCTGGAAGCTGCTGGACACTTGATATCAAACAAACATGTGATCAAATACTTGTAGGATATATCGTTGTGTGATATGTGGTTGTCTTATGTACAATTTAATATTGCAAACCCAATGCCACAAGCTCCCTGATTTAGGGGATGATACTACCAGCCATAAACATGAAAATAGTGGTGCATTGGGTTTACCACCTTAATACCTGTTGAGTCTGGGTATGCTGCCGGGCAAATTTTATTCGAGTGGTCGAAGATTGAAGTCTTGACCAGTCCATCCTTTTGCCGGGTCAGATTTGCTGTTGCCCTGAGAAAAATCTCGGCGACATGTCCACGTGTAAGCTAGAAAGAATCGGCTGATGTTCATTGACTTGCAATATTTCCTGGTAAAATACCAGTAGTACCGCACAAGGCGGCGGCGGAAGTTTCAAAAATAGGAAACCTAGAGGAGAGGTTGGTTGTTGTGAATCGCGGATGGCAGAGCGAATCCACTGATGGACCTAAAGGTGGTTGGAGTTGTGTTATTTGGAGTGGTTGCAATGATTACAGCGGTCACCTCGCCACAGTGCTGGATGTAGTGTGGCGTAGTGCAGTTGTAGCTGTATGTGTAGTCTATAGCGTAGTGGAATTGTAGTCTAGTGTGGTGTAATTAGTGTAGCGTAGTTGCAGTTGCAGTTGCAGCTGCGGTGTGGTCCAATTAGTGTAGTGTACTGTAGTATGGTATAGTGTAGCCTAGTGTAGTGTATTGTAAAGTAGTGTAGTTGTAGCTGTGGTGCAGTGTAGTGAAATTAGTGTAGTATAATTAGTGTAGTGTAGGGTAATGTAGTGTAATGTAGTGGTAGTTCTAGTTGCAGTTGCAGTTGTCATTGTATATGTAATGTAACGCACTGCAATTAGTGTAGTGTAGTGTTGTGTACTGTGATGTAGTGGTAGTTGTATTTGTATATGAAGTCGTAGCGTACTGCAGTGTAATTAGCGCAGTGTAGTGTAATGTAGCGTAGTTGTAATTGTAGTTGTAGCTGTGGTAGTAGTAGTTGTTGTAGTGCAATTAGTGTAGCGTAGTGTAATTAGATGTAATTAGCGTAGTGTAATGCAGCGTAGTATATTTGCATTTGTAGTTGTAGTAGTGTGTAGCGTGAGGGCAGTTGTAGCTGTGGTTGTAGTTGTAGTTGTCTATCTATCTACAGTATCTGTCTATCTGCAAGCTTGAAAACGAAGCCATTCAACGAGATTTCCTCAGTTTTTGATTTTGATAACATCAAAAACGCAGCAATTCTGCGAGACTTTCTCAATTGTTGAACTTGACAGCATCAAAAACGAAGTAGGCCTGCGAGATTTGCTCAATTTTCGAAGTTGACAGCATCAAAAAAGGAAGCAATTCTGCGAGACTTCCTTCAAAGATGGAAAATTAGGTGCAGAGTTGGCTGCCTCGTAGAAATGCGTTTTGCAATTTTTCCATTCCATCGGTCGAAAGTACTGCGCCTGCCACGCGCAATCATCTTAGCAAACCTGAAGATCTGATGCTCCAAAATGTAACTTCTCTCAGGAAATCAGCGCCCTAACCTCCTAACATCTCTGATAAACATGTCTCTTGTACTGCACCTGCCGCGCGAAATGCATCTTTGCAGATCCTCTTCAAATGTCCCACGCCTGCCAATGCTTTAGGAACTGCTACAAAACCCTCGCATTTGGTGCAGAATCCCCTGCGCCTGCCACGCTCAACGACATCTGAATGTCCAAAAGTGCCCTAAATCTGTCAACTTATTACACTTTTGAATTCGACATGTGCTTCGCGCCACAACGGCGTACACTTTTTCGACAGCTCAATTCCTGAAAGTGGTCCGAAGCTGAGGTGTTTTGTACATGTTGACTTCGAGATGTGCTTCGCGCCACAACGGCATGCACTTTTTCAACATCTCAACTTCCAAAAGTGCTCCGAACCTGCAGTGCTTTGCAAATTTTGACTTCGAAACGTGCTTCGCGCCACAACAGCGTGCAATTTTTCATCTCTCAGCTGGCCAGATGTCTCCGCACCCGCCGCTCTAGCGAGCCTACTTTTCGACCTTCCGGAGCAACAAATCATCGGAAAACGCAGTGAATCGCGACTTTTCTCCCTTTTCGCGCACCTGCATCTTCTTTCCTCTGACTCTTTCTCTTCTCTGATCTTCTTTCTTCTTCTCTTCTCTTCTCTTCTCTGACTCTTCCCACCCCTGCTTTTCCATCCATATTGTTGGAAGTTTGACTTCTAAACTTCCTTCGATCATGAACTATATTATTTATATAAAATATTGTTGCTTAAATAATTTGTCTTCTACTTTTGCAGGATCATGGCATTGTATGGCCCAAAAAACATGCTCCATGGCGAAAATGGGGGACCATTTTGCACGTGCAAAATTTGCCTTTCAGATGTGAATCCGTGCAATTTGGAGGATCAATAATTCTTTACAGCGCAGCTAAAAGTATCCGACATGTGGTGCAGCAACCTGTAATCTACTCTGGCAATTGGACCAAGTAATTTACGTCCATTTCGAATTACTACCCTGAAATCCTAAATTATCCTATTGACTCCCATCTGTGGATTAATGTGGTCTAGAAATGGGGTGTTTTCTTATACATATATTTCAAAAAAATATTGGTCAGTGTGCCGCTGTCCTGGTGGTCTCAGTCGGCATTGCGAGTCTGTTCACGACCTCCTGCCGGAACTCCTCCATTGGTCCATCAGCCGCAATCCGGTGCCAACTTTTACCAGCGCGTCGCGCGCCTCGCTGCTCCAACGTCTTTATCAGGGTGAGTGTGATGCGCACCAAGTGTATCAAGTCCTGTGGCAGATATCGCAGCGCACGCCCCTACTCTTTTTCTATTTTGGGACAAAACCATGTGATCATCGGCTGACTCCTACTTGTGTGTATATTATATGAGTATATCAATTATATACATATAGGGTCTATCTCTGGTCTGGGGCCACTCCGTAAACAAATGGCATCATTAAGGGTACCGCTAATTTCGCCCCTTGCTTATACTCAACCTGGTGTAAGACAGCTGCAGAGGTGGACATTGTTCCCATCATGGCTGTCTTGATATTTGACACCATTTTTCCACCGACGGTCTCAAAGTCCCCATTTGGGGCTCGTTTTGGCAACCCGTTCCAAAAGGTTTCAGCCATGAGGCTTATCCCTATACATTCATGTGCTGCTTCGACAATGGAAAACGTCTCTGCTTCTGCAGAACTCAGACAAGTTGATCCAATTCTCCTGGAATAGGCCTTGATCGCACTGCCTCCATATAAAGAACGATCGCTCCCATTTGTGATTTGACTTTCCATGATGCATCGCACAGGCAATACAGTTTCTCGGTGTCAGGGGCATACCATGCCGATCCCACAGCTCCAATCGCTTGTAGGGGCCCATCGCTACACACTGTTTGGTGCATTTTCCGGACACAAAGTGAGCACTCCCAACTAAACTGGTCTATCTATCAGAATGTTGCTCATACCTCATATATCATTATCCACCCAGCTCAAATATATTCACGCATATCCACTTATGTTAGTGGGTGAAGAATAACATCCTATGTATTCGGGCTTCGTAAACTACAATAACGCCCAATTAACCTTCACCCAACTGGATATAGGGACAGTAAGCCCAGAACCCAATTTTCTAATGGGTCAAATCCACATTTCTAGGGCAATCCATTGTCACCATATGTCACCATGTTTATATAACGCTTATTAGCGCCAATCAAACCACATAAATCACCAACAAATTGCTCCTTCATTTTCAACATCAATTAGTGGTTAAGTCATCTTAAACAGCAAAAAAAGCAGTGTAAATCTCCAATTGTTGCAGCTTAAACTATCATATGGTTGGGAATATCTTAGTGGCTCCTTAGCTCAGAATATAGACTTAGATACCCCTAGCTCCGAACCGCTCCCTCCGTTCACCATTGGACAAATCATTGGAATATGGGGATATCAGTGGAATATAATTGGATAATAGGCTATTTTTTGCAACATTGAGCGACGTTTGCAGACTTTTTTTTGCAGTCATGGGGATCCCAAAGTGACCATAGGCTCCAATCCTGAGTCATGATCTAAGGATATGGATTGTGGGATGATTTATTGGGGCAATTTATGACTTTGGAATATTGATATATTGGGTCAATGATCAGTTAATAATTATCAATCATTGACACTCACATTTATCCTTCACATTATTGAGATATCAATCATTCATCCAATGTTTGACGAACAAATTACCGTTGTTTGATTGTCATCCCAGTATAACGATCATAAAATAGATTTAAATCATTTTAAACCCCATAGATCCACCATTTTTCAGCCACGGCTGCCACGGTGCTCAGAAACGTGCGGCTGAGGTCCGTGTTCACCCTTTGCGCCGTGTCCCCACCGCAGGGCCGAAATCGAATGCGCCCCTCCGGCACGTTGAGGTCCTATCGTTGACGGCAATAGCTGGACGTGTACTGAGTACTGGCCTCTGTAGGCAGGAAAAACCATGGGAAAATATGGGAAAAGTAGGAGAAACAATGATAAACCGTATCTTTTTCGGTGCATATTTTCAGACAACCTATATGGCTGGAGATGAGCAGCAACATGGCTGCGTTGTGAAGCAATGAAATAGCTGATTCAAACAGCGAAAGCGAAGATTTCACCAAAACAAAACTGTAAATGGTTCATAATCACCAGACATAACTCGAAATATGTCATAGTTATCGTCCACTTAGTAACAATGTCCAGTTCGGTATGATTAGCACATTGAATCATCACAAAATTATGTTGTTTTTTTGGACTCCGGATTTATGATCAAAACAATCAGATAGTTTTCAGACGGGTCATCGAATCAGTGGACTTGCCACCGGGTATCCACAAACATCCATTTCTGCAATGTTTTTTTGATTCACCCATGAAAATAGCTAACCATCTTAGACGTTTTTCACCATATGTTTTTTCTAAATGTTTTTTTTGCCCCATCTAAGCAGTCCCTGATGATCCGACATTTAACAAAGATACGTGGCAATTTCACGAAGAAAACACGTGATGAAAAACCAATCGGGAGTTTTAACCAAGAATACCGCGGATTTAACCAACCACAAGGTGCTTGAACGAAGCAAAAACAGTGGACCAGAAATCAACACTGCTGAGATTTCGCCATCCAACATATTCCAAACTTGTGATTGTTTAACCATCCAAAATGCAGATTTCATACTGTACCCGACATTCAAACATTGCTAGCTGGGAAGTTAGCATGTGTTTAATGGGAACATCGTCTATAATTTTGATTAAATATAAATGATTCAATGTGATGGCGCATTTCCTCTGCCAGGTTATCTATAATATATATATGTATATATATATATATTAGATTATATTTGTAGAGATGTGGTCTGACAACTCAAATTGATGTTTTGCCAGAAACTTGGATTTTTCAGTCGGTCACAGCGAACACAAACAGCTTACTTGTTGTCACTACAGGCGTGTAAATTCTACAATTTGGTATGGTCTTCCCAAAAAAAGAAGCCTTAAACATGTGTGGCGGACTGCACCCCCGTACCATGTTTTCATCCTTCAAGTTGTCCATGCAGAACTTCCGCCAGAACAACTCGGTGACCAGCACCACCTTTGCGGCGCGTTCCAAGATCTTCCGGGGATCTCCGTGCGGGGTTTCCATAGCCATGGGGGTACCCCAATATAGATGGTTTATAAGGGAAAATCCATCTATAAATGGATGATTCAGGGGTACCCGTATGACTTAGGAAACCTCCATATACCAGGAAAATCCACTAAAAAAGTGGATGATGATTTGGGGGTACCCCCTATTTTAGATATTTTAGGAAACCATGACAACCATTTCGAGGATGACGCCCCCTGCTGTGTGACCATCTGCACATGGAACTAGATGATTGTTTTGTGTCCCCCAAAGTGAGGGAGTGTAAACGTCTATGATTCCATGCTGTATGGACATTTAACTACCTTGGTCTTCAAGAGATCAAACATTTCTGTACTTTGCTGGACGCTAAGTTTTTTGTTTTTTCCATAAAATAAGTCGTGCGCACCCATCAAAATGTTCATGCATCCCACACACAGTGTTCAAACTTGCCATCATTATCATGTTTCTGTTCAAAGACTTCATTCCGTGAGAACTATGCCAAAAAATAGATCGCTCTAATTGTCCAATTTTTGGGCATGTTGCCAAGAAACACTTGACATAATTTGACAATTTGTTTGGGATTTTTAGACGTTTGATGGTTTTTGTAAACCTTTTGGGGGTGCTTGAAGAGGTTTTGAAGGCTTGACACTTCAAAACGGATTGACCAGCTAACATGACTGGCCAAAGTTTTAGTGTTTCAATGTGATTCGATTGTTTTTTGCGGCCACCTGTCTTTGCATCATTCCGTTCTATCAAACATGATGGCACACACCTGAAAATCGATCGAATTGAAAGAAGGTCGTGTGCGTAACATGGGAATGCAGCGTGAAATAAAAGGACGGGAATCATACGAAAACTGCAAAAACATTGTCAAAATCTTCTAAGTGATAGTGCGAAAAGGGGTCAACAACCTAGTCATCCAAAAACATTTGCTATGACATGAATGAGGACTTAAGGTAAATCAATATCGTGGTAAAAATATGTAAAAATATTGAAAATCCCTAAGTCCCTAATCTAAGAGCCAAAACATTGGACACCCCCAAAATGAGGCTCGGCGAATATCAACAAATAACGTGTGACGACGGAACAAAACACCTATATAAAATCAAATTGTGGCAGCGTAAGTGCAAAAACTAAGGTGAAACGAACATCAAACAGGACGGGATGGGCTAACGGCCCAAACTTTATCCACATCGCGCGGCAAAAAAATACATACGCGAGTTTTCTTGACCTTGCAAGCACCCAACACATCCAGGCAACATCAATGCACAATTTTCATGGGTATAGTGATTGAAATTTAAAAAATCAAGAGATGCTCAAAACATGTGTTGAAATTTGCGAATTCATGTTGAAATTTTCAAGAAACATGTATATATATATATAAATTATATAAATAAATATTTTGGGATGGGCGCGGTTTTTCCATACACATGTTTCATTTCCTGGGGATTAAACGCTATCGAAACATCACAAACATATACAAACATGATGGTTCACCCGTCCACACAAAAGGCTGCTGTTCCAAGCAGCATCGCAATCATGGTACAAGACCAGACCTGCGCAAAAGCATCAGTGGACGGTTGGAAATCCCCAGCCCCAAATCAACAGTTGCCACGCAGCGGGTGCGGCCCACAGTTTGGTCCCGTTCTCGCTTTGGTAAATGGTCGGGTCCAACTTGTTCTATCGACAAACAAACACACACACACACGATCACGTATGCCAGAAACTCAACCAACAAAAAACGTCTTCCGAACGCGAAACAAACAATGGGCACGTTGTAGTTATCAGTTGCATTTGCGTGCGCGATGCGACCGTCAGAACTTCATTACCTCCCGTTAGGCAGTAAATTCAGTAGATCGAATCAATGCGGCAAATAGATTGTGATTTGACCCAAGGAATTTAGCCCAAAAACTATGCAAGACGCCAGACAAATCTTTGTCGCGTTTTGATTATCCTTGGCCGGGGTAAGACATGCACACAAAGTTGTTTTCTAATGTCGAAGTTTCAAATTTGAAAAGTAGTTATCAATGTAGGTAGACATTCAATCCTACCCAGCTGCAAGACCGAATGTTGACAGCTTCTTACTGGCAGCAACCGTGCTGAAACCGCATGAATCCAGTTTATGAAAACTCGGTGGCAATCGGATTTTTAAAGACACATGTGTGACAAGCAAGTCTAGTGGAGGTCTGTGCCATAAATGCACCAGCTTCACCTATTTGTGCCATAAATCCTGGTCTGTTTGCATGGTCTTCTCCTCCTACTTCGCAAGGAATTAAAAACAAATTCTGGATGAATCATCTGGCAAAGAGCTCGAACATATACACTTTGATAGGACCACAAATGAAACACTGATAGAGCATGAGTTTTCCAGGTTGAAGTATGCATCTTGAGATCTATCTCTGACCCGCAGTTGCAGCTACTTGCATGCCATAATTTCAGGCTTGAACTATGCGCATGAAGACTCTTCATGTTGAGAATGATATAGGGTTGTCAAGATGGGCTGTGTCCTTTCTGGAGTTGACACGGGATGCCATGAAGAGTGGACACTCGAGCTGTTGTGCAGGCTCTGCTTCCAAAAACAATGCGACCAACGAAGAAAGATCATACTGACTGCATATTCCGGAAAACCAAAACAGAAACTGTTTGGTTCGGGGGGTTGCCATCCGTGCTGGTAAATGACCGAAACAATTGGGCAACAACTTTGGTTACAACTCTGGGTCTTTAAAATCCACAATAAGCCACTTGATGATACGCAACGAGTTGCCATAAGTGCCTGGCCATAAATTGTTGGCCCGTCCCCATTTTTGGGCAACATCACCTTGTCTAACTGGCAAATCTACTAGGGAAACTGTCATATTTTAAGGGATGAAAGCATTTTAACACCCACATATGATATTGCTGATGATATCCAGCCCCATCATATCTCCATGATATCCCAACGAAATGGTAATCATCATCAACCAGCTGCAGCATTTAAAATAACTTTAAAGTTACTTGTGCATTGAAAAGCGAACCAACATGTAAACATTGTAAACATGACTGGGATTTTAAGCCATAATCATCAACCAGCCACATTAACTCCCCATTTTCCGCCACACGGTGCCACTTTCCCGCTGCAGCTCGTGATGCGCTGCCGGTGCGCACAAGGTGCCTCGTGCCAGTGCCACGAAGGGCTGCACATCTCCCCGCGTTCCACGGGTGATAAGCATCACCTACCGGGTGATAAGCGTGGGATTTTACGAAGGGGAAAACAGAAGATATGGGAAGGTATGGATGGGAAGCTAATGGGACTATAATCCCATTGTTATATACCATATATATGTAATTCTATATATAAATTATATATAATTAAATATATAATTATACATATATGTATATATATATATATGTAACTATACATATATATATATGATTACATATATATATATATGATTACATATTTAATTATATATATAATTAAATATGTAATTATATACCATTGTTATCGTCCGTATGGCAAGTTATGGATCATGGGGATTTCAAATCAAAATATCATGAGGATATAGTGGAAAATTCATGAAAATTCTAGGAATTCTGGGGATATCATTATGGTGCTGGAAAGTTGGGTACTGCTGGGATGATGATTGGAACATTCAACAACTCCAACAATGATGATTGCAAGTTACCATAAGTTACCCCACAATCAGGCACATTTATAGAGGTAGATATACCATACGTGGACCTTAAAGAAGGATATGACATGATATAACCTTGCAAACTACTGACTTTGGTGCGCCATGCAAAACCCAACAATAAATTGTCAATTGGGTTTGGCTTTTTGAACCCCTGGAGAAACTTTTCATGGTTCAGTATTAGATATGATTAGTTGCTCAAGATGACCAAAACCAGTAAGTTCGTCCATGTGGGAACCACCCAAGATGTCATGGTTCATGACTTCGTCTCTCTTGAACGAAGTTTGAAGGAGTATATGCAATTTTTATCAATTTTTGAGAAAACTTCAACGCAAGTGGAGGGTTTAACAATCAGCAGCTGGGACCAACAACTCTTAACAAAATGTGGTGACTAACCCGGTCAGCTCGAAGACGCATGTTTGTTGAATCAAACAGTTTTTGTTAACGCAAATTGGGATGTAAACGAGACGGGCTTGCAACTCCTGCCTCAAACATTCTCGGCACAAACCTCTCATTTGTTTGATTTGTGCGTTTCAACATGTTTGAACATCCGATTTTGGGAATATGAAACTTAATGAATTAACTACCTTCTGGGACCAAAATCTGAAGTTTTTTTTGCAAATTCACGCTTTTCCCCACAATGAAAGCAAACAAAATCACCATTGCAAAGTTTAAAAGACATGATAAGACATGACATGCCTATGTGTTTTTCTTCAAATCAGCGATGAATTTTTCGTGACCCCGTCAGCCCCCCCGCCCCCCGCGCCCCCGTCCGTCCACCTTGCGTCGGCCCGTGGGGTTCGTCGAGGGAACTGAATAGGCCGAGCCCGCAGCAGGGCGGTTGCGAAGCCTGGGCTCCTGCAGTGGGTAGCCTGTTCCAGTTTGATGTGGGGAAACCAATGCCATAACAATAGTGGTTAATGATGATTAATGATGGTTGATAATCGTGATTAATGGTGATTAATGGTGATTAATGGTGATTAATGGTGATTAATGGTGATTACAGTAATGGTAAACCAATGCCATAAACCACATATGACTGGGAATGGTAAGTTTATTTCGTAGTTTATGACATATATTGGGGTATGGTAAACATGACATTGTTTTACCCATGTACATCATATGTAGAAAGCCACGGGCCCAGAACCTGACGACATGGGCCCAGCTTTTTTGGGCGGTGGGCGTGCATTCATTTTGCCTCCCCGACTGTGTGCCCTCAACATTGATAAATATATATATGTATATAAATATATATGAATATTTAAAAATATAAAAATAAATAAATATACGAATATATATATATATACATATATATTTATTTATCTATATCTTTATACATACTGTATATCAACAGCTTTAAATGTTATGTAAGTCCTTACATTGAAACGTGTATGGCATATACATACATGTATGTATGTATGTATGTATGTATGTATGTATATATGTATGTATATGTATGTATATGTATGTATATGTATGTATATGTATGTATATGTATGTATATGTATGTATATGTATGTATATGTATGTATATGTATGTATATGTATGTATATGTATGTATATGTATGTATATGTATGTATATGTATGTATATATGTATGTGTATGTATGTGTATGTATGTGTATGTATGTGTATGTATGTGTATGTACGTGTATGTATGTGTATGTACGTGTATGTATGTGTATGTATGTGTATGTATGTGTATGTATGTGTATGTATGTGTATGTATGTGTATGTATGTGTATGTATGTGTATGTATGTGTATGTATGTGTATGTATGTGTATGTATGTGTATGTATGTGTACGTATGTGTATGTATGTATGTATGTATGTGTGTATGTATGTATGTATGTATGTATGTGTGTGTATGTATGTATGTATGTACGTGTATGTATGTATGTATGTATGTATGTATGTATGTATGTATGTATGATGTATGTGTAAGTATGATGTATGTGTATGTATGTGTATGTATGTGTATGTATGATGTATGTGTATGTATTATGTGTATGTATGTGTATGTATGTGTATGTATGTATGTGTATGTATGTATGTATGTATATGTATGTATATGTGTGTATGTGTATGTATGTGTATGTATGTGTATGTATGTGTATGTATGTGTATGTATGCGTATGTATGCGTATGTATGTGTATGTAAGTGTATGTATGTGTATGTATGTGTATGTATGTGTATGTATGTGTATGTATGTGTATGCATGTGTATGTATGTGTATGTATGTGTATGTATGTGTATGTATGTGTATGTATGTGTATGTATGTGTATGTATGTGTATGTATGTGTATGTATGTGTATGTATGTGTATGGATGTGTATGGATGTGTATGGATGTGTGTATGTGTGTGTATGTGT